CGTTGAGCTTGGGGCCTGACCGGGGCCTGTGGCTCCTGAGGTGCTGCTCTCGACGAAAGCCCTGGGCTGGGCCTATGTGGGTCTCCTGGGACTAGGCGCTCTCCTGGCCCAGGGCCCTGGGTCTGCATCACGTGGGGGCTTCTGGGGAGGGGCTCCCCGCCACACAAAGTCACAGACGTTTCCTGCTCCTTTCTTGCAGATGGCCACCACGTCTGGGAGATGGAAGCAAAAACCGACCGTGACCTGTACAAGCCGGTGAGTGCCTTTGGTCCCCAGGGCCTTGGGAGGCTGGGGTCTGCCTGGGCCGCTTCGGGTCCCTGGGGCCTCGGGAGGCTGGGGTGTGCCTGGGCCGCTTCGGGTCCCTGGGGCCTCGGGAGGCTGGGGTGTGCCTGGGCCACTTCGGGTCCCCGGGGCCTCGGGAGGCTGGCGTTCCTGTTTGTTAAAATGAAACAAATGAAAATAACGCACAGAGTAACAGAACCGGTAACAGGATCACCAAGTGCTTGCTGAAGTGCTGCGTGATGTTAGCCAAAGCGTAAGGGTCAGGTCAGAGCCCTGGCAGCTGGGACCAGTGCTGGACAGGCCAAGGCCACCTCACACACCGCAGTGCTGAGACAGCTGGAAAGGGTCCCACACGGACCCTCCACCCTTTGCTGTCCCTTTGCCGTCTCCATCACCCAGCATGGAGTGGGCCCCCGGGAGTTGGTGCTGTCCTGAGCTCCTGGCCACGCCTGGGGGTGGCCAGCACCTGCCTAGACACAACCCGCAGCGCCAGGGCTCTGCGGCGTCCCCAGCTGGGACTCCTCACCCCACCCTCCCTGAGGCTGCCTGTTGCACCAGCCTTCCCTGTGACGGGGACCCAGGCATGAGAGTGGGCATGCGTGTGTGTGGGGTTGTGCCTCTGCTGTCACCAGGCTGTTTCCAGACCCCCCAGTCACCCGCCACCGCTTCCGGGTGCCACGTGCACGCCGTGGGTGCCTGAGAATAACGCCCCTTCTTGATCGGTCAGTCGTGGAGACGACCTTTAGTCTGGACGACCGTAGATGCTCCTGCGTCTCCCCCATCCCTGTGCTCGTGAGCTGTGCGTTCACGTTTCAAGTGGGGTCTTAAGACAGCGTGGACTTGGTGGTGTCTTTTGATCTGCTCTGAGACTGTCGCATGTAGACCATTGATTGTGGTGTTTCGTTTTGTTATGTTTTTGTTTTTTGGAGATGGAGTTTTGCTCTTGTTGCTCAGGCTGGAGTGCAACGACACGATCTCGGCTTACCGCAGCCTCCGCCCCCAGGTTCCATCATCGATTCTCCTGCCTCAGCCTCCTGAGTAGCTGGGAGACAGGCATGCGTCACCACACCCGGCTCATTTGTATCTAAGGGAAGGGGTTTCTCCATGTTGGTCAGTCTGGTCTTGAATTCCCAGCCTCAGGTGATCCCCAGGTGCTGGGAGGACAGACGTGAGCCACCGCGCCGGGCCTGGTGTTACTATTAATACAGTCGGATCGATTCCTACATAGAGTTTTTTGAGTGTTCTACTTAGTCCTACAAAAGTAGTAGAAATCTTTAGACCAACGTAAGATACCACATGGCTCCCAAGGGGGTTTTGAAGGCATTCAGGGCGTCCTGAGCTCAGCAGCATGTGCCCCTGGGTGGGGCCAGTGAAGTCTTGTGCACACGCTCAGCGTGTGCAGGTGGAAGCCGAGCCATTAGGAAACCTTGGGGGAGAGCTGCTCTCGGATGGCTGGAGGCAGGTGGGCAGGACCCCGGGGAGGGGTGCTGAGGTCATCTCCTCTTGGTGGGAGGGGTCGGTGGCCTCCATGGAGAGCAGTGCTGGTATCTTCACTCCCTGTCCCGAGAGGCGACTCTGTCAGAGAACAGCGCCTTCCACCCTGTGGCGACTCCAGCACCTTCCTCAAGGACTCTTCCCTTCTCAGAACCCTTTCCATGTAGTTTCAGATGGAAGAGCCTCCTCCCTGGCCCTGGGCGACGCCGGCATTCCCCAGTGAGCTCACCTGCACCTCGGTTGTGCCCAGGCCTCCCCTGAAGCTCCTGGTGCTCATGGGGCTCCAGTTCAAGCCTGTCGCTTTTCTTGCCTTCACCTGAGAAGCCCCTCCGGGAAAGCTGGAGGCCCCGGGCAGGCCAGCCTTCAGATGAAGGAGTTCTGGTCTACGCACCCATTGCCCGCAGAGCTAGGAGTGTCTTGGGAACAGCCACCCACGCAGCCTGAGCCGCTGCACTGGCTTTTCCTTCCGTGGCCCGTTCTGCGTCCATAAGATCCATGACGCCCTGCTGGCCGGGCGTTTGCAGCTGCCTGGGCTTGCGGTGGGCGGTGCCCAGGGGGCTGGCAGCCTCCGTTCATAGGGTCAGTGCCCGGCCTCCCCACCTGCCAGTGACTGTGGATTCATTCTCTCCCCACCGGGCTGCTCTTGTTCTGCTGTGCGTCTGTGCTGGGCACTGACACCTGGGCTCTCCGGCCCTCTGCATGTGGGCAGTGTGGCCTCGTGCCACCCAGCCTCCCTGGCTCCAGGTCTGTCAGGGTCTCCACAGGCTTTGCCAGCCCCACACATGCATGCGGGACACAGGACGCTGGATGCAGGAGCTGCGCTGCCCGGCCCACCCTGGGCAGAGCAGCCAGGAGAAGCCATGAGCCTTTCCACATTGAAAACAGTTCCAGCCAAGCTGACATCCACGCTCTCTGTGGTTTTCTTACTTTTGACACTGGCATGTTTTGAAGGACACTAAAGAGCTGTATGTTTTAAAACAAACTTCAGAGCACATGTGGAAAGCTACGTACTTGAAGTTTACTGTTTATTCTTTTGAGACAGTCTGACGCTGTTGCCCAGATTGAGGTGCTCGCCTCCCGAGTTCAAGTGATTCTTGTGCCTCAGCCTCCCGAGTAGCTGGGACCGCAGGCGCCCACCACCGCTCCTGGCTAAGTTTTTTGTATTTTTAGTAGAGACGGGGTTTTGCCATGTTGTCCAGGCTGGTCTTGAGCTCCTGACCTCAGGTCATCCACTCGCCTCGGCCTCCCAAAGTGCTGGGATTACAGGCGTGAGCCATTGCATCTGGCCTACTGTTTCATTTTTAATCTCTTAAATGAAGTTTCCTTTAATAAATTTCTTTTGTCATCGTAAAGGAACCTCATAGTCACCATGGACATGTGGATGGTATAAAAAGCAAAACATGTAACCTCACCCACTTAGATATAACCCCTGCGGGCACCGGGCATGCTTCCTGCTCCGTTTGCTGGTGTGTGCGTAGATGTTCATGCACACACACACATTACATATATTATATTGTGCGTGCGTGTGTGTGTGTGTGTGTGTGTGTGTGTGTGTGTGTGTATTTTTTTGAGACAGGGTCTGGCTCTGCGGTCCGAGCTGGAGTCTGGTGGCTTGATCACTGCTCACTGCAGCCTCGACCTTCTGGGCTCAAACAGTTCTCATGCCGCAGCCTCCCTAGTAGCTGGGAGCACAGGTGTGCCTTACCCTGCCCAGCTAATTTTTAATTTTTTGTGGAGGTGGGGACTTGCAGTGTTCCCCAGGCTGCCCTTGAACTCCTGGTGTCAAGCCGTCCTCCTGCCTTGGCCTCTCAAAGTGCTGGGATTACAGGCATGAGCCACTGGGCCCGGCCTGTGTGTGTGCTTTAAACAAAACGGGAGGTGCTGCGTAAACGGTGTTTGAACTTTCCGAGGCTCCGTGTGTGAGCTTCATCCCAGCAGTGGGGTTTTAAGGCAGGTCTCACGGGTGCAGGTGCCGTTTGGAGCCCGTGTTTTTACCAGTGTGGACGACTTTCCTCTCCTGTGCGGTTCTTCAGTGCTGCTGCTTTATGACGTCCTCTGTGTATTTAAGGGGCAGTGCTCCCACAGAGATAGTACTTTTGTCATATAATTGGTCTATTTAGAGGCTTGAAGTGGGTTGGCTTGTGCCCACATCAACACAGGACCTTCCGGGCAGGTAGGGCCCAGCAAAACTGGTACAAAATGTCCAGCCTGCCCCATGGCATCCTGCCTCCATCTGCCCCATGGGGTACCCCTCAGTCCAGCCTGCCCCCTGGGGTCCCTGTCCCCTCCATCCAGCCTGCCCCACCTGGTCCCTACCTCCACCCATCTCAGCGGGGTCTCTGCCTCCGCCTGTCCAGCCTGTCCCACAGCCCCACCTCTGCCCATCTTGGCCTGCCCCACAGGGTCCCGCCTCTGCCCATCTCGGCCTGCCCCAC